CTGGAGGTGATACTAAAGATTAGTGAAGCCGGGTGATGGTGGCGCACGCCTTTAATCCCAGCACTTAGGAGGCAGAGGCAGGCGGATCTCTGTAAGTTCGAGACCAGCCTGGTCTACAGAGCTAGTTCCAGGACAGGCTCCAAAGCCACAGAGAAACCCTGTCTCGAAAAAGAAAAATAAATAAATAAATAAAGATTAGTGAAAGCCAAAGGCCCAGACTGGCCTCCGCCAGGATTTCCTGTTTCTGGAGATGACCTTGAATTCCTGATCTTCCCTCCTCTACCTCCTGAGTACTGAGGTAACACAGGCCTGTATTACCACACCAACTGGTAGGTAATTGTCAAACTAGAACTTGGTTAGGTTGTTATGGTATATATATATTTTAAAATGTATATACATTTTAAAATATATATATGATTAGGATTTTTAATGAGCTATAAAGTAACCTGAAAGACAGATAAAAATCTCCAAACAAGATAGTGTTGAGTCGTGTGAGTTAGTTTTTGAAGGAAACTTATTCAGGATATATCCTAGTAGTACCATTTTTCTTCTCGACGGTGATTAGCCAAGAAATAATCTTTGTGAACATTTCTTTGGGAGTATTGGAGTATCTCTTGAGGAAATACTCCAAGGTCAGTTGTCTTCTGGTCGAGCTATCCAGGAAAACCAAGCTGTAGTCCATCAAGTCTGATTACAGTAAACAGAAGTCAATTCAATGAAAGAAAGAATACAATCACTGCTTTTCCCCTCAGGCCACCTGCTAGATTTAAAGGTTCAGAATTAGATTATGGCCATTCTTGTTTGTAGCCGTTTTCCAAAGCACGGATGTTTGCTTATTTCTTAGAAATGGAGCCACATTCATTAATGCAATCATGACTGAATTTTGCAGAAATAATGCATTGTGTCGTCTAGAATATGACCTCTACCAATTAAATAACATCACTTCATTGGGGGCTCTGGGAGTCACCTGCCAGGTCTAAGCACTGTCAGGCTGAAAGCAGCTTTGGGCAGGAAGAAGCAAAGTTAACCAAGCTGATCCCAGTTTAGAAGGGAGAGGGATGAGAAATGGAGCTAGCTGACACATGGGAAGAAAGGCAAAAGACAGAGAGGCCGATGGTTTCTTCTAATGTCTGCTGATAGAATTTTTGAACTGAGATTATATGTGGGCAGCCAAGGAGGCTGAAGGAGGAGTAATAAAAATACCATGAATCCTGCTGGAATGTCATGTTCTACATTATTTTCCCACCATTTGTGTGTGTGGGGGGGGGACAAAAATTTCACCATGAATGGCCAGAAAGTCCAGCAGTGCTACAAGCAATTATAAAGTATACAGTAAAGTTTGTTCCGAGTTACTTTTTCACTTTCATCCATCACAGGTAACTCCAGGGGATGAGGGAGGGAAAGATCTTGCGCCCTCAGCAGTGATTTTCTGACCAAGGAGTAGTGTTAGTCACGCTTCCTTCTCTTGTCCATAAATGGAGGAGAGCCTACTGATGCTATCAGATGCATTTAAATAAGGCCTGCTCCAGGGAAGCCCTCGGAGCTGACTCCCCATCCTGCCTATCAGCAGCAGAAGCTTGTTTTCTTTCGTTTCCATGGGAGTGTATGCTGCTTATAGCTGTGTGGGTCAATCTGCCACAGCAAACGAGGGCAGACAGTGTGTGGGGGAAAGTTGAGATCCGCATACTCCGTGTCAGGAGGAAAGGCTGAGGTGGGAATGTAGCCACCCAGGGTTAGAGCCGCAGCGCTCACACGTGTATTAGTCTTCTGTAGATTAGAGCGGCTGTCTCACTCATTTATCCTTTCATTCACCTTTCAAATATCCAGGTCCCTCCATGACGGGCCAGGCGTTGTGTCTGATGGGCAACCCTGTTAGAGTTCAAATCATTTCCGAAGAGTGTTAGGATTCAGTCAAGCCAACTACAATTTCTAGGTTTATGAAGACAATCAGCTGTACTTCCTCCTTAGTGAACTCTTAGGCAGTATGATGCAGGCAGAGAGATAATGGGCCAAGAGCTGGAAATCCAGTTCTATTACAAAGCACTTTGCGACAATGGGCAAGTTACTTATCCTCTCTGGTTCTCAACACTCCTCTCCTTAAAAAATGAGTGACCAGCTAGCTTCCTCCCATCTCTAAAATTCTATATTTCTTTTTTTAATATTTATTTATTTATTATGTATACAATATTCTGTCTGTGTGTATGCCTGCAGGCCAGAAGAGGGCACCAGACCCCATTACAGATGGTTGTGAGCCACCATGTGGTTGCTGGGAATTGAACTCAGGACCATTGGAAGAGCAGGCAATGCTCTTAACCTCTGAGCCATCTCTCCAGCCCCCTAAAATTCTATATTTCTATATAGTAACACAACCATGAAGCTGCCCATGACCAGAACTAGTCTGTATTTCTATATAGTAACACAACCATGAACCTGCCCATTGACCAGAACTCATCTGTTTCTAGCTCATTTGCTTTTTTGCGCACTTTCAATGTTAGACCAAATATGAACAAGAAGTAATATTTTGTCAGAGCTAACAAACTGCCCTCCCATAAAATGACCTTTGGAGGTCAGGTTAGCCAATGCAAGATCTAAAATCAAAGGCAATGGTGTGACCAACTGTGAGCTGGCAGACTGCCATTCAAAAGGATGGAAATGCCTGTAGGCAGCCAACATTCTTGGCTGGTACATTTTTAATAAGCACAGAAAACAACAATAGCATTTTCCTCTTGGATCACTTAGTTTGGTAGCCATGCCATTGGGACGTTTGCTGTTAGGATAAAGATGCTGATGATATACAACTTATTTAGACCAGGATGGATTAACTTTTACAAATGAGAACCAGGTTCTCATCATTTCCAAGGAATTTTTTATTTGTGTTTCTTGTCTCTGACAAGAGAGTTTGAGTCATTACAGCGGTATCTCCACCTCTTTGGTTCTGGTGACTTTTATCTGAACATAGGCGCTGTTGCATTTACTGTATTGGTAGGAATGGACTAAGGAAAACTGGCGTGAATATGGTTGAATATGCATCTTAATTCCCCCCAAGATGACTCAATATACCTTAATACTCTTTTAAAATCTAGAATGGAGGCTTCCGCCGGGCGATGGTGGCGCACGCCTTTAATCCCAGCACTTGGGAGGCAGAGGCAGGCTTTGTACATATAATGCATGGGGTTGCTTGATATGTATATTTCTCTGTCTTTTGTCATATGGCAACAAGGACATTTGACTGACAAGGCTGTTTTCTCTTCAGTCCTTGGAGATCCTTGAATAAAATGCTCTGTGATGGCAAGCTGTAATTAGCTATGTGGGTGGAAATTAGTGTTCTCCAAGTACACCATGTTTAGGGCAGAGGCACCCTGCTTTTTCCTACCCGAGGCCACCCTGGTCCTGTGCCACAGCTCTAGGTCACTGCTTCTTGCAGGGCTTCCTTCCAAAAAGCACATTGTCTTTGTTGAGCTCTGAAACCAGGAGGCTTTTCACAGAGAAAAACAGGTTATGCTGTTCTCCAGACAAGTCAGGCATTGACCAAGGGATGACTATATTACGTTTGCTTTTCATTTCAAAGTGCACATATTCCCAGCATTCATAAAGATCTTTTGAATCGTAGCCCATTTTATAAGGAACATCAAAGTTTTGAATGGATTCCTGCAGTATTGGTAGGTCCTCCATTTTGGATGCAATAGGAATTCCATAGCAGTAAAACCTTTCTGTCCTATTCCAGGCATCTTGAATACCGCACACACAAGAAGGCTATTTGTCCAGTTTAATTTTTTTAGTAGAGCATTGGTTTTGGGGGGGGGGTAGTACCCCTTTTATTTATTTACAAATTCGGGCTTCTCAGACGCCCCCTGCACCATTTGACTGTAACACATTCCCCGCGGCGTTAGTATAGTACATCTACCTTTTCAAGGAGGTGAGCTCCAGTCTAGGTGAAAGACAGAACATTTAAAATTATCCTCAGTTCCCATCCCTCCCCGCCCCCGGCCGGGATTCCCTTTCAGCTGGTGACGACAGAAAGGGTTCCACGGGCTGCGTCTCTCGCGGCTGCACAGGGTACCGCGTGCCTCGGGCCACCGATGCGTTAGCTGTGCGTGCGTGTGTGTTGTGTGTGCATGTGTGTGCGCGCGGTCACCCGCGTACCGTGCACGCGTCGGCCGGGTCCCCAGGTCCCGCACGCTCGGGGGTTCTCGGGAACCCGGGGGACGACAATGACCACGTCTTGCGTGTTCGGGACTCCCCTACACCCCGCCCCTCACCCGGAGGAGGGGAGGGAGTCGCGCCACAGCGGGGGCGCGCATGGGGGGGAACACACGACGACGGGGACTGCGGGATGTCAGCGCGCGCGCCGGAGTCCCCTCCGCGATCGCGCCCGGCTAGTCACGCCCCCCGCGGTCCGCTCCTCACCTGGGCCTCCGGGCGGCAGGAGGGCCACGGACAGTGAGCGGGGTCAAGGGCAGAGCGGGCGCCGACCCCCCACCTCCCGACCGCAGGGGGCGCGGAGCCGGGTGGGCGGCAATAAAGGGCCGCCGCCGCCTCAGCCGCCTCCCTCGGCCGCCGCCCCGCAGTCCCCTCGCGCGCGCTGCCCCTCGCCCCGGGAGGGAGGGGGAGGGGAGCGGGCGACGCGGGAGCGGCGGGGGCGGCGGGAGGAGGGCGGCGCCTGCGTGCTCCTCCGCCGCCCCGCCCCCGGCGCCCCGCGGCGAGCCCGACTCTCCTCCCGCGGCTGCAGCAGCTGCCGGTTCCTCACGGCCTCGGCGGCGGCGGCGGCGGCGGCGGCGCACTCGGAGCGGCCTGTGGCGCGGACGGACGGGCGGGCGGACGGACGGACGGACGGGCGCGCGGCCCCGGCGGCTCCCGTCTGAGGCGAAGGTTGAGGCTCGACGGGGAGGAGGCGGCGGCCGCCGGGACCCCACTCGGCGCCTCGGCCCCTGCGCCCCCCTCCTCAGCCCGTGGTCGCTCGCGCTCGGCGGGCCGGCCGGCCGGCGCCTCGCCTCTGCGCGCGGAGATGGTGTAGCCCGGTCGCCCGAGCCGGAGCCGCCTCTGCTCGCGCGTCCCCGCGGCGTCCGCCTCCCCGCCTGAAGAGAGACCCTCCGCTCGGCGTCTCCCGCGCCGGGGAAGCCTCGGCGCCGCCGGCACCATGAGGTGAGGGGCGCGCGGGCCGCCAGCCATTGTGCCGCGGCGCCGCGACCGCTCTGCGCGGACCCGCCTGCCCCCGGCCCGCGGCGCCGGCTCTCCCGGCTCTTCCCCGCTCCCTTTTGTCCCTTTAGGGTTTCTCCTCCCGCCCCCCCTTCCGTCCCCTCCCGTCCCCCGCTACCCGAGCTCTCAGATTTGGGGGAGGGGGTCCTTCGTGTTCCCTCAGATGCTCTTCTTTCGCCCAGGATTCCCCTTCCTCAGTTTAATTCGCCTGCTCCCTCCTCCCTCCCCCAGCCTCAGCTAGCGAAACCCAGGAGATGGGGAGGGGCTCGAGATCCGTAGCGTGCTTGTTGCCGGGGAACAGGTATTTTCCGTGTAGATGTAAAAATTCCCAGCACTTTTAGGACAAAGCTCTAGTGTTTAATTAAAAAAAGGGGGGTGGGGGAGGAAAGTTTGAGAGGTCTGAAATCTCTGCGGGGAATGAAGTGCCTCTGGTAGGGGTAAGCAGAGGAGCGGGGAAAGGTGAAATTTCCCGATGGTGGGGGAAGGGAGGGAATTTACTAGGTTTGCACTGGCGGGGGACCGCGAAAGGCTGGGACAAGTTGTTTGAGGGTTGTAAGCCCGGGCGGGGGAGGGTTTTGTTTGGAAAGCCCTTCTCTCCCGTTCTGTAGCAGGCTGTGTTGCATTGCAGCAGTAAGCCGCTTTTCCCTTCCTCTGTAATCAATACAACAGTTTCTCCTTTCAGCCCCAAAGGAAAGAATTGGCTGGACCGTCGTGAAAAGCTTTTTTTCTTTTTGATTGATACGATGAAACATATGGTGTGTTATTTCTTGTTTTTTTTTTTTTTTTTTTTTCTGGGGTTTGTAGGAAAATAAACCCTGTTGTGTGGTTTTTTCCATTGGGGGGCCCCCCCCCCCCCCCCGCCCCAAGCCTTTCCTAAGCTTGTTTTGTGTCCATAACCTCCTGGTTCTGGATTGGTGCAAGACTTGGTGAGATCTGGGCCTTCGTAGACCGGAGGCTGATCCATTTTGCGTTATCATCCTTAAAGGCCTTCCTTTTAGGTTAAACAATTGTGGACTAAGTAAACTACTCCCCGTCTTTCTCCGGAGATAGTCTCTCAGTTCATTTGGATTTGAAGCTCCTTTGTGTTAAAGATTAATGGCCAGCCCTTGCCAAGACCTTTATAATGTAATGCCATGAGATTTGAATGATACAATTACGAATTTCCTTCTTTTTGGCATGAAAATGTTAGGTCATTGGGATTTTTTCCCCTTATGTTTAAGTAGGTTCCGCTTTAAACTTTAGTTTTTATATTCCTCCCACTCCCCACTCCAAATCAGGGTTGAACACAGTCCCGGGTCACTTTTAAGTATTTTTTGTGTTGTGTTCACTTAAGGTTACTGTGAATTTTCCCAACTCCGAGTGTCATATCTTTATGTTGGTCTTAGATTTTTGCTTAATGCTAACTGACCTCTTTCTTTTCCTTAGTGATGTCACACAAGCTATTTCAAATGTTTAAAAAGTAATTATGGCATACAAACCAGAAACCAAGATTGATCTTTGTAAAATGCAAGATGAGAAACTTCAGCTATATTTTCGTACATTTTTCTTAAGCTTAGTAGCCTTGAAAATTCAGGAGCTGTTAACAAAATCCATGACTGCTCTGTCATGTAATATTACATACTGTCGGTTTCTACTTTAGTGACTTAATGCTGTAGAGGTCTCGTAGAACACGTTAGTACACTGCTTTTTCAGACTTAGAATAATTTTCTTAGCATTAAAAATAAAGATTTAAGGTATCTGAAAGATTTTGAACAAAATACATTGAAGTTTTTGGTAAAACTTAATTGCTGTACATTTTCTATCTTGGGTAGATTATGTCTGGACTTACAAGTTCTAGTTTCCAGTAAAATGTAACTTGTTTTTTAAGCTGTTTTCTTACTATACTTCTTAGTAGTAATAGAGATGGAGAGGTCACACTGCAGTATTTCCAGTAGCATAGGCATGAACATCCTCCCAGGTCTAAGATGTTTGAGCAGTCTACAGTAATTCTTTGTAGGCTGATTTTGAATAATTTAAGAGCAGAAAAGAGGATCAGCTAGTTTTTCACTTTGAAGGGCTTTGTTCAGTAGGTAGTGTGTTCAGTTTGGGCAGGAGCAGTTAGCTACTTTGGTAGCTGTAAGGGTAGGATGGCTTGGTATGAGGTAATCTCCAGTGCTGGGAGCAGTTGTTGGAATACTTTGGTGCTTAAGAAAGGACTTCTGCTAGTATTTGGTAAATCACAGATGCTGTCAGGACTAAATGTTAACCTTCTAATGGGTTCTTTTTTTAAAGTTATGTGAAAGATAGTTTTGGTGTTTCAAGGACCATCCAGAAATAGGAATATTGAGTAGGAATTTCTATTTAAGTTGGTCAGAATTTGGAAGAAATAAGTGTCTTACAGTATTGAGTATTTGTGGTAAGATCTCTCAGATGATTTAATTTTAGGAACAGCATGTTATTGTCACATAGTGTAATCTTATACAGAAGGGAACTAAATGCTTAACATTCCTGAAAGTCATAAGACATGCTCCACATTTAAATGCTGTGTATAGAGTTATGAAATTTTGATTAGAGGTGGACAGCAAAAAACATGGTTTAGTATTTACACAGGACCGTGGAAGAGTTGATGGGAAAAAAGCCACAGACCCAAAATACCAGGCTGGCATTTGTAGTAGCCTGTTGAGTTTTTGGTTCTGTTCTTTCAGTTGTGTGATGCTTCAGAAGCGTATTCCTTGTGATCCAAAACTGTGAGGGTTTCTCTGTGGCTTTGGAGCCTGTCCTGGAACTAGCTCTATAGACCAGGCTGGTCTCGAACTCACAATCCGCCTGCCTCTGCCTCCCGAGTGCTGGGGGATTGCAGTTTTAAACACTAGCTAATCACTTAAAAATTTACCTTACCTTTTTTAACAGAAAGAAGAGTCTATTAGACTTAGAATACTTAGCTCATTATAGTCTGATCTCTTGGGAGAGCTTAGAAAATTTTGGATTGATATTTTTAAGCCATATTGTATGGCCCAGGCTACTGTAACACTAGATACTCTGACTTTCTCATATAAAAAAAGGCATAATGGGGTTGTGAGGATTGACCAACGCTATTTACTGCTTACTGAGTGGCCTTGAGCTAAGCATGTAATTTCTCTGTCTCTGTCTCTCTCTCTCACACACACACACAATATGTACAAATCAGTGGTAAATATCAGTATGTATATATGTATGTAACTGTGTATAGTTTGTTTGCTTTTTGTGACAGGATCTTAGGTATTGTGTGTTGTCCTCAGATGCAAATCTATAACTGAGGATGACTTTAATTCTGATTTTTTTTCCCACCTGTAACACCAGAATGCTGGTGACATGCACAGCTTCATGCTGTACTGGGAATTCTACGCAGGGCTTGCTGCATAGTAGACAATCATTCTGCCAACTGAATGCATCTGTGCCCCCCAGTATGTAGAGAGGTAATTTTTGACTTGAGTTGTGAGGATCAAATAATAAATGCTTTGTGAGCTTCTTTTGTTTTGAGATTAAAAACTTACTTATTTTAGACTAATTGCACAAAACTTTAGGGTAATTTGCTTTACCATTGACCTTATTTAAGGATGCCAAATAGGTTACATTTTGCTAATGTAGTTCAGTAGGTAGTGACTAATAGGCAGATAAGGGCACTGATACATTTCTGGGATTGATGAGGAAGAATGCCATATATTCATTAGTAATGTTTGCTTGAGATATAGGTTCAGAGAGTGGTCGGTTACAGGAATACTACTAATCAAACTGCTTTATGCCCAGCCATATTGATTAAGTGAGGAAGCGGGGTTTTTTTTTTCCCCCCAGCTTTCTTCCTGTGTTTATGTTTGGTCTTTGAAACTTTTTATGGTTTTGCTGCTTTAAGTTATAGTAATGATAAATTTAATACATACTTGAGAGAAGTGCAATCAAGGCACAGAAAATTCAGGTTATCTGAACTGTCTTGCTAATTGAGCATATTGGTAAAAAGATAATCCTATTATTTCACAGGATTTTAGTGCCAAGTTATATATCTGTGAGAGGATGAAAATAGTCGTCTCTACTCCCATGGGTCTCCATTTGTGCTTGCAGCTGTTGAATATGTGACTCTTCCACAGATATTATTTTAGAAATAGGAGCCTCATCTTCAGTGTTTTTGAATATCAATATTATAGGTATTAAGTGAATAAGCCTTGCATATGAGTGTGGATAAGTAGATAAAATTTATTAAACTTTATATTGTATTCAGGGTTTTGGCTATCTTATTAATCTATTTGGAATAAGCTAAATAATTAGTCAGGCACCATTTGGCCAGTAAAGATGAAATTACATTAATTATTTTAATATTTTATTCTACATACAACTTTAGTTTAAGAGATTATTGTATAACTTTATTGGGAGAGTAAGGAGTATCAGTTTTATGTAATTGGGAGCTAGTAAAAAGATACTCAAACCCTTGTTTCCTTTCTCCTCCCTCTACACCTTCTTTGAAATTAATGGGTAGAATTGAGGGGATGTAAAACTCCTAAGAAGTGATCTGAGTTGAGGAACCACAGGAGATGTCTCTCCAAATATAGGTTTGAGAATTTTGCTTTACGGAAAAACACAAAGAGCCAAGAGTCTTCTTCCTTGTGATACCTTCTGAGAAGTAGTCCCTAAATTGCCCCTCCCCCCCTTTGGTTCTAAAGGATTTGATACTCTTTTCCCAAGTCATACCACTAGCCTAGTGTTCTCCATTTTCATATTTGTGTTGCCAGTAACATACGTGGCATATACTGCTTATATCCAAATGGATTTGACATTGTCTGGTATTCTTTTAGAATCTTACGTACTAACAGTAATAGTCACAGTTTTGGAGTGCCTTGTAACATTCTAGAACTGTACTGGGTACAACTCTGGTAGGATGTGGTGTGGTATTTGCAGATAGAAAGTACTAATAAAATTACTTAAACAAAAACCAGCAC